TACATGATAAAATAACATATTTGGAGAAAATGCAGTAAATATATTTTATCAGAGAAATATTGCTCTTTAAATACAATAGAATTTGCAAAAGAATTTAACGTGCATAAGTTAATAAATATGTATGCATAAACTGGCTATATTATCAGAAAATAAATCTTTATGTAATTTAATTTAACGTAAATAAAAGTCTGCAATGAAAAGTTCGGTGAATTTAACTTTAGAGTCTTGAAAATAAAAATAGAACTCACTGGGATTGAGATGTTTCCCCATATCGAGCTTTTACTACATATTATTTATTAATATATTACCTTGTTTCTGGAAAAAATGGCATTAAAGAATTTATTGCGCTACACTTTTTACTTCATTGAAAAAAGAAACCTTTATTTATAATTAAGTTTATACACATTATTTATAAGTAATACTTTTAGAATCACGTTGGCCGAAATGCAGAACTTAATTTTCGTTGAGACTACTATTATTTTATGGATGTCAAATTTATGAAATAATTAAATATTCTCATATCTGATAACGGCCAAATTGTGTTGTTGATTAACGGGAAGGGTTGGCGATTTTGAAAGCACTGGAAACTGCCAAAGCTGTCTTGAATTCAACCAGCTGTTACCATTCCGCGAAGATTTCATATACGATAAAATAGATTCCCGCCCCTCATAGAGAGGAGTTCTAATATTCATCTCATTTATCATTGCGTTTGCGGAATAATTCAAGACTGCGAATTATCGCGTCACTTGAGTTTTGAATAATCTATTATCTTTAATTGTTAATGGAAAGTAATTATGCGAAAACATTAGAAGGATTTCTTAACTATAGCTTACAGATTTGAAAGTCTTTTGAAAATTAAATATAAGTATTGCAATAAATTTGAAAGAAAATAAGTGGGCAGTTTTGTGAAACAGCTACTTAAACATTGTCCGACAAGTGCTCTTTTTGTTATTATTTGGTGAGATTGCTATTTCAGTACTTGGTAACTATGTTAATATTTAAACTATTTATTAGTATTGGTAGCCAAAATTCATCTACGTCTTACTCATTAAATTAATATATTTTAATGCATGATTATTTTTAGCTCTGTAAAAAATAGTAATTGGTACGGAAATTTCGTAAAAAGGAAAAAATACGTAAAAATAGCAGTCAGGAAACATACGAATTTCCTTATTTCTTGGAATTTCTTTTCTTAACCCTTTAATGGGCTATTTATTTGTAGTAAAGGTAAATTAAAGTATTTTTGGTGTTGAAACTGATATAAGAATAGTAATTGGTATAAGAAAAAAAGAACTCATTTAGCTTATAAAAAATTAATCTAAATTTTAATGCCATTTTTTTTTGTATATTTGCCACGACCTATTAGGGACCTATTGACTTTTATTTTTCGTTATAATATAAATTTTATAAATGCTACAAACTTCAAAAGGAATTACGTATTTTATAAGTTTTCTTAAACTATCAAATGGTTACTAATTTTATTCAAGCGCACTTCCAGAAAGCTGAAGTTATTAACGAATGGAAACCTAAATTAAAAGAGTTAAAGTTTGTAATGGACTTTAAAAATTGGTGGTAAGTATATTTACCACGGCCTTAGAAAGGGTTAAAACCTAAACATAACATTAATCGCAGATTATAATTGATATGTTGAATAAGATTTAAATTTGATTGGAAAGAACTGCACCAAATTTCAATAACGTGTTAGGTCAAATTTCGACTATAAAGTCAAATAAAATGTAATTTTTATTATTTACTTTTTTTTGCAGTGGAATAAAGTGGAATATTTATCCTTTTATTATTGTTTAACTTTTTTTATTTAATTATTTAACTTTTATTTAATATTTATAAAACACAAAATTCGGATATATTAGACTTAAATGTCATTCCTTAAATAGATTAGTTCACATTTACCCGCGTTTGGTAATCCACAAATTTGTTTTATGTCCTCGCTGGCGAATTAATCTCCTCTCAACAATTCATAATAATTTATAATAGGATCTTTTCCATGTGACAAGACTAATGCATCATGGGAGTTGAACATTTTCAAATCTTTCCGTTCGCAATAATCCCCTGCCACTGACAAGCTATTTGGATTTGTTTCCATCAGAGCTCTTAAAAGTACAGAAATTAGAAGTGTTTCTGTCATAATCGCTGGAAGCGTATCCGCTCACTAGAGTAATAAGACTAATAATTTTAGCATTCACGATGCCATTCTCTTAACTGTAATCGCCCCAAGTGCTTGACATTTGAAATATTTCGCAAAATATCCAGATACATAATTGTGTTAATCTGTACCTGCATCTTCAACTTCTTTTTTTTTAAACCTCCCTCGTGAATGGATTGATTAAATCAATCCTGCACTTTGCCTGTCGATATTGAGTAATATATTAATTGTTTTATCGTAAGATGCAGTTGCTTTGGGGGTAAATATATTTGTTATTTACATTTATTCAAAACTTTTATAGAAATTGGAAAGGAAATAAGCAATAATGCCTGTGTAAAGCGACATTTCCTACATATTAATTCCTAAGCATGAATGTCCTGCAGTGGATTGATCGTAAAGACACGGTAAGCAGTAGAATACCGAAGTCAAGCATCACTGACTGCGGATAGTAAGTGGGTGGGTAACGACTTTGATCAGCCTGCGTAGGGACCGAGAGTGTGCGGTATCGGTCTTCGTTAAACTGTTCTACCGTAAAGTGCTTGTCTTCGTGCGCTCGTCTTCGGGCTAAAAACAAGAAGAAGAAAAAAAATTTAGCACGCTTTTGGGGGGAGTTAAAAATCAATGACTTCAAAAGCTTGTAATATAGATCAATTAACCCCTTGGGGACGATTGATTCAGAAAAGCATTCGTACAAAATCAGAATCAAGTTGTAATTAAATAAAAAACGATAACTTAAATGTAGTCGTTGCTAATTTGACAGACTTACTTTGCTTTTACTTTAATTATTGCGAATTTATTCATATATATATAATCGATGTTAATTCAAAGTATATAACTAAATGGTTTTATTTTGAACAAAGCAATGGTGAATTAAATAAATCAAACAATTATAACTCCGCGCACAAATAAACTGCTAAAGAAATATTTTGATTACCAGTTTTATCTTTTTACCCTGATTGATACGGTTTTATGTTGACACGTATTTGTGACAGTCGGCGCGAAAGGGTTAATGCATCAATGATATTTTACTTTTCTCGAAAACAAGTTAAAAATCATATGGTCTTACTACCAGTTTTTTTCCTTTCTGGATTAAGTTCCCTGAGAGTTTTTCTCGATACGGTCTACTACAGTTAGTGATGCATCTCTCTCTATGATACAGAAAAAGTAAAAACTTCGCTTAACACGTTCACGCCGGGGTGACCCACCGGTGGGTCACGCTAGATTTTCTCATCTTGGCGGCGAACCGGAGTAAAAACTGGTAACAAATAAATTTCATTTTTTAGTTTTCTTCAGGAATAATAAAAATCCGCAACTACCAATTGTTTTTAACGGATGCAATTTTTATATTGAATTGCTTCGCCATGATAAACAGAGATGCCAACTGCTCCGGACACGCCAACATAATCTAAAAAACGATAAGTAACTACAAAGTAAATTTTGCAATTATTTGACCCGATTTTGTTTCTCTTTAAAACGTACAGCATGACTTAAATGCAAAAAAGTGGTGAATTATATAAGCCTGCAAATATTTTAGAAATGATGGTAGATAAAAATCTACCAAATTGAATTTATTAAACCAAGAATCACAATTAATTAACTACCACTTTAAAATACATATTTGCTGTCCGGAGCAAGTTGGCATCTCTGGATAAATCTCCTTACAGTGAATTGTTATTGTTGAGAATAGATTAACTCCTCCCGAATATTATCTAATATTGAAATAGTTCTTCTACCAGTATTTTCTCTTTTCCCGGTGTGAACGTGTTAATATATATTGTGGCAAAATGCTTCTTTTCTAACGTATTTGCATTCCAACAATCTTTACCCCAACAAAGTGAGAAAGCCATGATGAATGGGAAAAATGCCTCAAAGTGATGCCGTAGTGCCCAGTTTCAGGAACTCGTTACGGTAAATCAATAAGCACAAATGGGTTAAGTAGCCTTTTCAGCTGCTTCTTGTTTTATATTCATATCAATGACTTTATTATTAATCTCCAAAAAATCATATGAGCATGTTCATAGTTAGACAAAGGCAAGAAACAGAAGAAAATTCATAACCTAAAGAAAGCTCATGAGAAAACAACAAACGAAGCACTAAGAGTACGAACACTTAGGTCCTTGGACAGCAACATGTTTATTAATGCTCTCAAAACAATTTATGAATTCTTCTGTTTCTAACACTTAAATATCGACTTTATATATACATAAAGAATGCAGCTCTTAGAATATCATATCATATTAAGTGGTGATGCTGGATAATAATTATTGCTGAATTTTAGTGACCGCATTAGATATGTGACTTGAAAATGTAGAGAACAAAATTCCGTATATGAAAAGGCTAGCAGGAGACAAATTGAGTTGCAATTAATGCACTCTACATAGAACTTATAGCACCTATGTAAAACCATTAATTAAATATGGAAGTGATATACTTATCTCAGTACTTAAGTTTAACATGAATTTCTCGGTAAAGCTCAAAACACAAACCCCACAAACTGTTGAAACAATTCTGATTTTAACCACACAGAAATATATCAGAACTAGATAGAGCACAATATTTAAACTAAATAAATGTAGTGATAGTTAAAAGTATATTACCTAAAATTAATTATCCGTTTGAACCTTACTTTTTATACTGAAATGATACAAAAAGTGGCATAATAATGTTAAACTAAGAGTCTATTTTCTACTGCCAGCCACTATTTCAGGTGCGATTAAAAGTACGATTTAGGCAACTCTCCTCCATGGCTTTGTATTCAAATGAAAAATTTTGCTAAAATAATGAATTAGTATAATAGAAACGATGCTAAAAATTTATAATTAATTTTTCTTTTCAGGGCCTGTCTATGAGTATTTTTCCATTTCTCCCTGCATCCAATCTTTTCTTTCCTGTAGGATTTGTAGTTGCAGAGCGAGTACTTTATGCACCTAGTATGGGTTTCTGTCTTTTAGTTGCACAAGGCACCAGTCTTCTATCTACGTAAGTTGATATAAATAATTTTCTGTTTATTTATTTTTATTATTGGTCCGATTAACTAACAATAAAGCTTTCGCAAACACATCCTATAGATATTTTTGAAATAATTTCTCTTTTTTTACTGTTTTTACAGTTTTGAAAAAATCGAAACTAAGAAGTGAAATGTATTTTGTAACATTTGTATAATCTGCACAACATTTTGATAATTCCAAATATGTAGGTGCAAAATCTCAAGTTTTAAATACAGTTAAGGTCAATGTAGAGAATGGTGAGAATTAAATAATAAAATAAAAAATAATTGTGCATTTTTTTGTAACAATATTGACAGATTTTTTTCCAAATAAATGTTGAATATTGAAGACCGTATAAACACTTTATTTTGCACATTGCATTTAAGTATTGTTTGAAAATTATTAATTTTTAATAAACAACATAAAAAAATGGTAAGAATTTCCAACTACGTTAGTTGGGAAGTTTCTTGCTTTACAGGGTGCGTAGCGTTTTTGAAAAGTGCTTAAAGGTGCTTATTTTTGATTAACGTTTTTTAAAAGTCCATAAATGTGCTTTTTTATTCGGGAATAGTAAAAAGTGTTTAATTTTATTTTGCCGCATTGATTGTCGTTCTAAATTACAAAAAATGCACGATTTTCACAATTTTCTCCGTAATATTTATCAGAAACTAGTGATTTTATCGATTTTATGTTTATAAATTAAGAACTTTAAACGGTAGAAAAAAATAATTTTTATTACTGCGCAGATTCTAAATAAAAAATTTTTTCTTTTGGAAAGTGATTAAAAGTATTTTTAGAGTGCTCAAAAAGTACTTTAAAAGATGCTTATTTTTTGTTGAAAAATCTGACTACGCACCCTGCATTATTTAACACATAAATTTTACGAAATCCAAACAGATAATATAAAATCTAAATTATATATTTTTAAAATATAGATTTTTTGCGTCCTCATCTTGCCAGAAAGTAGTTAAAAGTAGAGACATTAAATCTAATGCCTTTCCAGTGAGAAATCTATTCTGTAATGGCAGTATAAGTTATTGATTCCAAGTAAAGTCAAGTTCAAATTAAATCAAAATTTGAATTTAGTTTCTTTTATAGACGTCGTCCTGGTCTGATCTGGACCAGTTTGATTCTATTGCTGTGCATCCATGCAGCCAAGACTGTTCGTCGAAACGCCGACTGGTAAGTGGTTTAGAATGTGTCTGTATTGTGTTTTTAAAGTATGTTCAATGCACAAAATTGAGTTGAGTAATAAAACTATGTACAATTTATAAATATATAGTTACTTTAGACCTGGAATTCTCTAACTGTTCGGTGTCGGAACCCCCATAACTGAAACAAGCGTGAGGGAGAACCAGTCTTCACTTGTACTGTAAGACAGTTTTAGACCATTAACTTTAAGGCATTCAACTATGAGAAAATATTAAATAAGTAACAAATATAAAAATATACTAGGAGGCTCCGCCCCCTGCTCGCTAACGCTCGCCAACCCCCGAGAAGCAATCCTATGTGGTTCACGCCGTGAACCATGGCTCGCTGCGTTCGCTCGCCAATAAACACAATGTTCTAACACAAAGACATAATATATTATCATCAAAGACATAGTATTTTATCATCAAAGACATAGTATTGTACTTATGTAGAAGAATTCTACCAATGTTCTTATTGGCTTTTAAAAAAGTATATTTGCTGTTTAGATTGTACATGGTGAAAAAATCAAAACATTAGCTAAATAAGAAACATATTAGCAAAATAAATTATCAAATATTGCTTCACTAATATTCTGCATTTTAAAGCGTGAAAATTCAATGCGTAAATAAACGCGAAATATAAAAAAATTCAATGCATTCAATACAAACACTTAAACGTTTTTTAGACGTTTAGGTAGCTCCCAGTAGAAAAATATCAATTCAACAGCGGCCTTTTAAAGCATTCTCACTTCAATTAATTAATTAATTCCTAATTGAGTTTAAATTAAATATTGTCATGTTTTTAGTGCATGAATCTGAATTGAACAACCTGATAATGCTCACTCTGGTTATTGTTATCTCACTACGTGCTCTTGCGCGCCGAATCCAATCAATTAAAAATGAAAACTGTTGCCAGCGCGAGAAAAGAAATATCATCGGTTTTATTGATACATACATACATACGTACGTATTAGCGTTTTATATAATATAGATTACAATAATAAAAATAAATTCAATTGTTTGGGTTGATTCAAACACTAAGTCTGTTCATTAAGTGTAGCCACTTGGAAAGTCGCTATTGAGAAAAACCACTTACTTTTAACAGCGAACATGCGAGCTCTAAATATCAATGGGAAGGGTGTGCCTTGTTATTTTTAATTATGCCTGTTATTTTTTATTATCTTGACGAAATTGTCGACACTGCAGGACGAAGCACTTCTTCAAAGTTTTTTTAGATTTGATTGACACTTTGATTGTGGTTAAAGACGAAAATGTAATCTCATACATAGGCGTTGTGTAAATGCAGTTATGAAAATATTTGGTAATTCTCCAATTATTATAATATATTAAAGAAACATCAAAATCTTTCCTTGCTGCAGATTCTGCATATCCAATCGGAGCTGCGACATTATAGTTTAAGAAACTCTACTTTAGACAATAATACTCGTACTAAATAAATATGTTGGATTTCAAATTTAGTAGATTTTTTTAAATTTAAATGGCTTTAACTTTTAAAGCAAATTGTAATATTTAAACGTTTTTCGTAATATCATACGAGTAACGCAGGACTGTACGAGTAACGCGTATCACAGAAAAGAAAAAACACCTGTAATAAAACTCTTTTATTTCTTGCTTGTTTTCGGAAGGAATATGTGTCCGTGAGCATCAAGATTTATTAACAGTTATTTTCTCTTGTAGGAAACATACTCGTGTATACGTTATAACCTTTAATAAGTCTAGGTAGCTAACAAGGTAGCAGTTATTTATTTCTCGCGATAACAAGCTAGATTTGGAATTGTTACTACCATCAGCTTTTACCCTTTACAATGACACAAACAGTCCTTTTAATGTGTATTAGAATTTGATAACAAATCATATTCGTATAATTTTCATAGGCTCATAAATAAATTTGCGATTAAATAAACAAATTCTAATAAAAAGGAGTTACGAGTTTTAACCAACAATTTGGGTAGTTTACTTAAAATTTTTATCTATACAATACGTCAAAATTAATTTTTATGCGCATGTTAAATTTAAGGTTTATAACCATCTTGAAATAAAGTTATGCTAAAATTAACCTTTATAAACATGTTAAAATTATACTTTTATAAAATAATTGGAATTACTGTTATCTAAAACATTTATGCACATCATGCAGCTTGTGGGTGACAGTCTTGAAGTATGCCAAAAGCTTTAGCTGATAGAGAATCTCAAAATTATAATATTTTTTATTGACCTGCTAAGGAGCGTAAATGCAGCATTTTCGTGTAAAAATTAAAATAAAATAGTAAATTAATTAAAAATTGGTTGAACTTAAAATGAATTATTTTAACATTTAGGTAATTTAAGAACAATATCTAATTACAAGAATAATCTTTATATTAAATGTAGGATAATTTAGCATATAGGTTAAGTTAACCCTTTCCACTCGAGAGGTGACTGTCAGTCGCCACTGTCACCTGTAAATTACCCACCACTCTAATTGTGAAATTTTTACATCTTATTGTTTAATTATATTTACGTATTGTTTTATTTAGAATCTTTCGAAATGTTAGTGATTGCGTCCATTTTTTCAACTGATAAAAGGACTTCGACTGCAAAGGGTTAACATGTTAAAATTAACCTTTAATAACATGCTAAAATATATATTTATGTATTGAAATTACTGTTAATGCAATATAAAATATTTTATACACAAAAATATGCAGCTTATAGGTGACAGTCTTGAAGTATGTCAAAAGAGTTTGCTGATGGAGAAACTCAAAATTATAAAAAAAAATTTATTAACCTGCTAATTTTTTTATTGTCCTGTAAATTCCTGTATGTCCTGCAAGATTTTTTGTAGTGACTAACGTACTTAAAGAGGATATTTTCTTTCATTGACTATCACCTTTAATTTAAGGGGAAAAAATGCAATTGCCTGATTTTAGTTCCATATTCAGATATTTAAATTGAAATATATTATAATGGAAGTCTTTCGAAATAAATTCTGAGAAGAAAATAATTATAACACTTTTTTTAATAACTATAATAAAATAATTTTAACAATCTATTTTTTTCAAGAAAAAAAAACTTGTTCTCTATATGCACGTATGCCACGTGTGATTAAAAATGTAAAACGTGTTAGAAATCAAATTCATTTTTATATGGAAGACTGAAAAAAATGTTACAGAAAAAGCTGTCAGATTTAAAATCTTTAAATTAAAATTCGACTTTTAAAAGTCACCACTTGATGCATTTTTAGTCGCCCGTAGCAACCCTGCAAATGAGAACATTTGCACTAAATGAGTAAGGAACGTTAGTTAAAATTAAACTTTATTTTTTTTTAAATTTATTTTTTCGGATACAAATGGCAACTCGACTAAAAGGTTTAATTTATGATCTTAAATTACCTTCAATTAGAAGAAAATTTTTATTACGAACAATTTATACTAAAACGCGAAAGATTTTTTTCATTACCTTCATTAATCTGTTTTCTTTTTTTTTAAATTCGTGGAAAAGAAAATCCATTAGACGTGAAAATCGAAAGTGAACATTCAAAGCTTTCATTAATTGTGTTCCGTAGCATCACATCGATATATCATATTTATAAAAAGTGACGAAATATTTGAATAACATAAAATATTAATTCAATATAAATTGAAAAATCGTTCATAATATTAAATTTCATAAAACATTGATATTCTACTAAATCGCGATACTTAAAATTTTCATTTCAGACCTCGATTCTTATTCCTTTTTTTTTTCTCTAAAGAAAAATAATTAAAACTGAGGGACTCCATTCATTTCGTTCCCCAACCTCGCAGAATTAATTTCGACGTTACTTTCGAAGTTCGTTTTAAATGCAATTTTGAGAAGGAAAAGGAAAAATCGTTATTGCTACTTTATTGAATAAGGGCTTTAAGTTTTAGAATATTGTAATTCTTGCTGAATTAGAGCGGTTATTTTACATTGCAATTACAGAGATATTTTTATTGCAATTTTATTTTATAACCCGGCGTTGAACAGCCGACCCAAACCTGAGTTTACAACTATCAATATTCAACTCCGGTGCCTTATAATTTTGAACCCAAACCAGAAGATAAAGGAACTTCTTGATCAAACATTGGGACAAACTAACCTTCGTGGAGGACTTTTTGATGGAACTAACCCGCATTTGCGTTACATGAATAAAAAAACTACGAAAGCCTCCCCTGATTAACCCGAAGGCAAGGGGATTGCAATCCATGATTCGCTTATCACTGAGGATAATTTACGTCAGCACTGTGGTCAGTGCGACCCGGGAGCAGAATTCGTATTAACCAGCCACCTCTGGGATTCAAACCTCGGTCACATCAATGGAAAGCGAACAGTCTATTTCCTGAGCCACCGCAACTCTTATGTAGCAGTTACAGGACGTTGGATGCTTGTATATTCTACTTAAGCTTTTTATAAATGGCTGAGTGGTAACGCTACCGCCCCACAGTTCCGAGGCTCTAACCTCGGACCGGGTACTTAATTTACAATCCAGCTGCTTTTAACGACTTGCTCTCACTTACGGAGTCTTTCCGCTTGGTCCCAATTGTAATGCAAGTTATTATTTTGCTAAAAATTTATTGCCTGAATTTAAGAAGGTCGAACAATTTTAAAGAAAAATTTATTTAAGAAAATTCTAAACTGGAGAACGGTTCGGTAAAGGGTGCTGGATTAGAAAATCACGAGCAGCTAGGTTGAGTTAGCCTTTCATTCCATCAGTGGGTTGTTAAAAAGAGTACCAAGCATGCTTGAGGACTGAACACTTTGGGTTCCGCGTCCGGCTGACCACCCAACTGGAAAATCTGCACCTGCTCTCCAGAATCCAAGCTCAAGAAAATTGAGATGGGCACAGTAGATCTTGGCCCTCCATGGGTTAAGTTAAGTTTTGTATAAATGGTCTTTTATAGAAGTTATGTTTTGTGTTAATTTAGAAATGAAATTAAAAAATTATGATTATACATTCCGTGAAAATTTTATTTATATCCAATTTATATATAATTCATTCAATTTATATAAATTATGATTTAACTTATATTCATTACAATGATACTTAGAAACTACACTTAAATCAAATAATTCATGACTTTTCCTACATAAATGTCATTTTTGGAGACAATAGTTTTAAATCCTTTATTCTGACATAAACTCGTAAAATGTATTAAGACCGAAAGAAAAGTTTAAAACAATGAAAAATATGGCCTATTTTTGTTTATAAAACACCTCTCTCTCCCTCTCTCCAGTATTTACTATGACTGCTCACTCGCTTGATATTTCAGTCTTCATTTCTTTGTTACCAAGACGAAGAGATATTTTATTGGTTTGAAGGCATTGTATCTATCAATCTACGTACGTACATAGCCATTAATGTTTTACATGATATAGATGTGATATTCTTCATAAGACAGTGAGTATACTTTTTGGTAGGTATGAAAGTCAATGAGGCGATTAAGATAATAATGCTAATACTTGAAATAAATATGCTGTTACTTGAAAATTCCCGTTATTTAATAATGATATATTGTGATATTTAAATGTTTTTTGCCTATCTTTATTGCCGTTTTTTCTTTTTGAAAATTAAAGTTATTTTAAATGACGTTTGTTTTTTAGGAAAAGCGAGTATGCCTTGTTTTTGTCTGGCATAAAAGTTAATCAGAGAAATGCAAAACTCTACAATAACGTTGGACATTGTTTGGAGACTCAAGGAAAATATTCTGAAGCTCTAAATTACTTTCATACAGCAATTAGGTATATTTTTGCATCAATACCATATACATTTTCAAACACAAAATAGTTTCTGTAAACTTTTATGAAAATTCGTGATGTGGTTCATTTAATTATCTCGTGTAAAAATGGTTTCAATCTATACGAAACTTAAAATGCTTTCAACTTATACATGACAATTTCATGTAACTAAAAATTTATACACTCAAACTTACGAATTTTTGAAGAAAGTTCTACAAAAATGATCGATTACACTCAGGAATGAATTTATGCAAATCTTACCTAATTCAGGTGTGTGTATTTAAAATGTTAAACTAGTTTTGTTCGGAGAGCTACGGATTTTTTCCAAAACGATATTTTCAGTTTATTTTACTTTTTATATGAATATACAAGTTTTATAAAAAAAAACGTATAGGTTTATATACATACATATACACTTGTCTGTTCTTTTGAAAAAAATTCCTCAGACCAAAAACATATGACCTTAATGTATCATGCATCATGATGCGATGCATCATGAACTGATGCATCGCCTTCTTTCTACCACTCCCTACGTAGCAGAGAAGAGGAGACACTTGATATTCACTCTAGCGAATTTCACAAATCCTGTTATATTATTAAATTGCATAAAAACTGCAGGTTGCAGAGAGAAATCGATTGCAGATTTAAAATCAGAGACGTGGAAATTCTAAGGTCTGTTCAAAAATCTCATGCAACAGAGAAAAGAACTGTTAACTGTTCTATAAGAACTGTTTCAGGTGTTGAAAACTTCAAGAAAATTTTAGATTTTTCATGATAAGTAGGTTTTCAGCGTTCTGAGTCTACGTTTGGCCAGCTAAACAATAATGGGGAACAATACCTCATCTGAAAAGAGTTTAACATGTCATCTTTCACTTTTTCCGAAGTTACATTTCCAAGTGGTAATGAAATGAGTTATAATTGTCGGCAGATAATTTCGGTTGTACAATCTTGTTTATTTTCATATATCTTAATTTATTTTCTAATCTTACCATTACTTGCTCGCTTGATATGTTACTATCTTTATCTTTGCAAAGAAGAATGTTTCGAAAAATAAATATGCTTTTTTTTTTAGAATTTGAGCAAAGGAGTAAGCAATTTGAAAGAAAAAAAAAACACTTTTGTTATATCTTTTATATTTATGTTTTAGTTTGTTGATAAATTAACATCATTATTAAATGTGCAAACATTAAGTTCAGTATTTTAGTTGGTATAAAAGCTTTGTAAAAAACATAACAAAAATCTATTACTTTTTGGCACTGATCCTAAAAAATGGGTAACGTATTGTAAACTATTCCTTTGCATCGTATAACTTTCAAGTGTTTGTAATACTTAATAAATTTAGCATTTTTTCCAGAGTAGAGCCAGACGATATAGGAGCCCACATAAATGTAGGCAGGACTCACAATCATCTAGGAATGTATGAAGAGGCAGAAAAAGCTTTTAGAAAGGTAATAAAGGGCTCTTACTTATTTTATTCATTATATCTCAGAGATTAAATTAAATCTTATGTTTTCAATTCTTGAAAAAAGTTACTTGTTATAATAGTTATTAAAACTTAAAATAATAGTTCAAATGTAAAATTTAAGGGATTTCAGTTATGCAAAATTCAATTGGGAACTACTGAAATTCTGTCAAAAACAAAAATGGGTTTACTGTTATTATCATGACTAATTCGTAACTTTTACTCATATTAAACTCGTTTAAAGAGCATAATCAAAAATATAACGTAATTTATAAAGCAAATTTAAATTAAGACATATACTTTTACGATATTATTTTAGAAAAATGTTTTTGAATAGATTTTCTCTCGAATGACAACCTGTTCCTAGTTATCATAGGATTTTTAAGGGTCTTCAAAAACTTAAGAAATGATACCAAAACAAACTGGGATAAACATATTTAATCATATTTGTAATCTGAACAATATATCTTGTTGCAAAAATCAGTTTAAAATATTATGAAATTTTTTTTAAAAAAAGATGTTTTATTTAAAATGTGAAAGCTAATAAAAATCCGTTCTTAGTTCTATGTTATAATATTGAATCTCATTCTGCTTTTCTTTGTTAGATGATTTTTTATATAAAGACTGCTAAGGTGTCAATTCTTATGCTCGTGTGTAAATGAAACATTTATTTGCCTCTATTTATCTATTTTTGTATAACTTTTAAAACAAATTTTGAAATAAATTTCACTTTATATATTAGATCCTTAACTTATTGATAACTATTCTAATGGTAGGCAAAAGACCTACTGCCTAAACCACCTTTTGGAGAAGGATATGAAGCTCGAGTTGCTCCAAGCCATTTGAATGTGTTTTTGAATTTGGCAAATCTGATATCGAGAGATGGTACAAGACTCGAGGAAGCAGACGATGTAAGTGTAAAGATACTACTAACAAAATTGCACGGAATTCAGTAATTGTTCACTAATATTTAACATCTAAGCAAATTCTTCAATTGATCACTAAAGTGGGACAATTTTATTTTGTATTTTAATAGATTGTTTTATTTCAAATTATGCTCCCTTCTTATAACTATTTTTACAGCCTTCGATTAATTTGAACAATTAGAATTGCTCAAATCAATCGAATGATATAAAAGATTAAATTGATTTGTAATTTCCTTTATCAGTTTTTTTTTCTTCATTTAGTTAGCCTTTTTGTATTAAAAATGTCTGTTTCTTAAAACTTGCTGCAAAAATAAAGCATAAATTTAATAATAATAATATTGAGTTAAGTGAAAAGTCATAGTTTTTTTGTTTCCTTTTTCTTTTGAAACGTATGGCAGTAGTACAGTTTCTGATTAGTTGAAGCATTTGTAATCGTAGTTTTTGCGTTATTGGTACCTTATAGTTTAAACTTCATTGTAAAGAACAAATTGAGATATTTTTCTGAGTTTTCACAGCATGTTGAACATGTAAGAAATACGAGTTCATTTTCGCCACATTTTACTTCCGTAAAGGGAAAAAACGCGTGTCAAGTTTGTAAACAATTATTTAAAAATTTACGGTGATGATGACAAAAAAAAAAACGCCAAAGCCAAAACTGTTTCAAGAAATTCTACGCTTGTGATTTTGATTTGAAAGATGTTCCTCGATCGATCAGGAAGGCCTATCAGGATTAATGATGACAAAATAAAGACATTTATCCAGTCAAACACACGTCACACGGCACGAGACATTTCAGTGACATTGGAATTCAGTCAGAAAAAGTCTTAACATCTATTTAAAGTTAGATACATAAGCAAGCTCGAAATTTTGGCTTCTCATGAACTCAAAGAAGTTCATTTGATGGCACGGATAAAGTCATGAAACTCGATCCTTTTTTTAAACGAATGATAATAGGTGACTACAAGTGGATTAATTACAACAATGTGGTGCGCAAACAGTTTTGGTCGTGAGGTGCCATCAACGATTTCTAAACCAGAACTTCATCAGAGGAATTTTATGCTTTCAGAGTGGTGTCATTGGAAGAGTGTGGTTCTTATTTGAGCTCCAACCAAGGAACGGGATAATCAATTCAATGTGTACTGTTGGCAAAACTGTTAGAATGAAGCTGTCATCCAGAAATATCCTGAGCTCATCAATCGTAAATGAGTAGTATTCCATCACGACAACGCGAGCTCCAATAACATCTTTGGTTTTTGGATGGGATGTGGTGCTCCACTCATTTTACTCATTTGTCAGACTTCTTCAGATGAGGCAGTAAATCAGCACCTTCTTCAGATTTTTGCAAATAAAGGCAGGTCCTTCTATGAATGAGGAATTACTCTCCTAACGATGGCAAAAGGGCATCGATCGAAAGAAAACATCATTGCTTAATCTTTAAATAAATATATGACTTTGGAAAATTAAGAAAAAAACAAAACACATTGACTTTTTACTCAACTCAATAGTATAATAATAATAATTAAGTAATTTAATTTAATAAATATAAATTTTTGTAATTTTATAATAATTTATTATTGTAAAATTAATTATTCATAAAAATTATTCATTATTTGTTAATGTTATTAATTAATTAACTATTAATAATTTTAATAGCTAATTTGAAGTAGTTAATATTTTATTAATAAACTAAGATATAAAATTTTTATAAACGTGTTTCACACTCTTAAAATCTTGTAAATTTCATTCTTCTTCTACGTTGGGTCTATTACAATATTACAGCTTTGGTAGCATTCCAATTGTGAAAGGTAGGTTGCTTTAAATTAGATATTGATTATGTTTAAATGTATAACTTATTCACTCTGTAATTTTATTTTATTTTCGAGTATAGACAGACGTTAAGCAAAATAAAACACGATAAGGTTTTTTACCCTGGGTTTATCATAATAAATAAATATTTTAAAAAAGATGTTTTATTCAGTTATCGCGAAAGTCGAATTTACTCGTGGTCTTTCCTGATCTCTAGCATCTCTAAATATGAAATTTTTTTAAAATAATGTCATATCATGTAACTATTTTTAGCATTTTTTAAAATTTATTATTTATAATGAGTTTTGGTGGTTCAGGGGATAGAGCGTTCGCCTTTCAATGAGGTGGACCGGGTTCGAATCCCTGCGATGGCTGGTTAACACGAATTCAGCATCTAACTCGCAAAGACCACAGTGTTGTTTTAAAATATCCTCAGTGGTAGACGAATCATGGGTTAGAGTCCCCTTGCCGTCTGGCTAACCGTGAGAGGTTTTCCTCTCCATATCACCCAAAGGCAGATTAATTCCGTTAAAAAGTCCTTCACGAAGACAACATTTCTTCCAATACTTGATCTAGGAGTTCCCTTGTCTTCTAGATTGGGTTCAAAATTACAAGGCTACGGCAATGAACATTGAAAGTCGTTAAAATTGGGTAGGTTGTTCAACGACGGTTATAAAATAATTTATACTGTTTAAAAAACAAAATTTAGTTTTCATCTGACGTATCGTTTAAGGAAAATCTACCCAAATCGTTTTAAAATAGCTGAATTTAAGGCATTACTAAGATGCAAAACAAGAAAATGTTCTTTATTTTGGAAGAGGAACGTGTAAATGGCTTTTTCCATTCATGCATATTATAATCTCATTAGTGAATAAATCGAAAAGTCGTAAAAAACCTCTACATAAAAGTAAAAAACAAATTACATTCTCGTTTTCTGATACATCTTTTCAAAGATTATCACCAAGGAAAGGTAGATTTAATCTTTTGGAGACAAATATGCTCTGATTCTTTTTCAATTTTTATTCGTGAAGTAAAGTAATTGATGTCACTAAGGCGTGTCGAAATGCGATAAAATCCCCTGTCACTCTAAAGTTTTTTTTTTCCAACAAAAAACTCCAGAACTGTATCTTTGTCGCTTGATTTTAATTTTCCTTTTGATTCATTGGACAATTCTTTAATGTGTATATTTTTTTGGTATGAGGCCAGCGTTGATTGGTTGAACCATTTTAAGTCAATTTTTAGGCATGGTTATACAATACATCTGATTTTTGCGTGCATATATATATAGTATATACAGTGGCGTATGCAAGGGAGGGGTTTAAACACCCCCCTTGAGCTCAGACAAAATGGCAACAAAAAAAATTTTAGTAGAAATTATGCGAGCTATTATTTTTTAAGACTATGTATTTTTATTAACCTTATGCCTACTTTTTTTTCTCACGGTATTTCTCAGAATACTGAAAAAACATTTACTATAATAGGGTTGTACTTTTGAAACCAAATTCACGTGATACTGTCATGGAGTGGTTCCTTTCTGTCCTGCCAGTATAGTTTTCGAGACTGGCTGTCATTCGCGAGGTCTTTACGCGATGATTCTGGAATCCTAGACGTTCTGTCGTCTTTGAGACAATTCGAGAATTTTGGAGACGCGGTAAAAAATTATATAAAAGGGGGAACGGAGTACAGTGGAGTTAGTTAGTCAGACAAAGAGTTATCTCTGCCGCTTGTCTTTCGGAGCTTGTCGCTAAATCGGTTTTGTTTTGTCTTAACAAAAAGTTCATTCAATCGCCGAACCCGTCGTCGCCAGTATTTCGACAACTGAAGAAATTAGTAACAATACCAGAGATACTGTGCTCGTTGAAGTTATTCATTCCAGCTCGAAACTTTGAGATCGTAGCAAAGCGGATATTTCTGTGCCAATATATACATATATTTGCTGTTCTTGGATCTTTAGGATTTAACAATTTTTAACACAAGAATTTAGCAATTTTTAATTATTTTGAGAAAAAATCACGATCTGAAATTAGTGAGGTGACAGCATCTAACACCAATATAAGTTTTTCTGTTGTACAGAAATGTGATACTTCAGTTGAAGAAAATGTTTCTAGCATAACAAAATCTGATGAATGTGAAAGTGGCCCTCAAAGTGTTACTTTCCACGCATATGACATTAAACTTTTTCAGAAAATATCACATTATGTTCTTAAACTTAAAAAATCAAATCAAAATTTAACTAAACAATGTTGTCTAAATAAAAAGTCAAAATTGTCTAGCTGTCTAAATTAGGGAAATAATAGTGCTTTATAAGAGATTCGAATTTCTTTTAGTAGTTTCAGAAAATTATGAACACCCCCCTTGAAAAAATTCTGCGTACGCCACTGTATATATATATATCAAAGTCCACTAGTGAATTGTGGTTTTCGTCGTAATAACTACGAGCGCTGTGGAAATTTTTTAAAATATCTTGGAGTAGAGGGGCTAATTTTTTCTTAGAATATAATCCTTCAATTCTTCCTCAGCTATATATAAAAGAGCATTATTGGCTTCTTTTCTTCGAGTAGAGTAATTAATATTTCCGATTATATCAGGCACATTTTTGGGCTTAAAAGATCATTCTAGGGATTGGAAAAATAACGTTAAGTTTTCAGCTTTGGCAGGAACGGGGGCAGTGTTGTAATGTTTTCATTTTATGCATTCAATTTCCCAAATCTTGAAGCGCAATTGGTTCATGTGCTACACTAAGTTGAGATCCTTCCCTATCTTTGCTAAGCTCTAAATTGTAACTCAGCATTTGTTGAGTCAAATCTTTGTCCAGTTTGGTAATTTTTAATTTCTCTAATTCTAACTACAACCGTTTTTGTTTCGATTCTTCCTCCGCTGCCAGTTTCCTTTTATTAATAATACAGTTTAACATTTCTAAAACAAACTTAGAATCATTTTCATATGCATCGGGATTTTCTATCAAATTTTTAATTTCTATTACAGTTACATTTTTCGACGTTTCAATATTCAGTTCAGAAGCAAGTTTTAAAAGATCTTTCCTTTTTGCTTCATGCATTTTTAAAATAAAATGTCCGAACTGATTTGTAGAAAGTAACCCAAGGATCAAGAATATTCAACTAGCCACACGCAGATATCATAGTATATTGCTTTAAGCTAAAGTTGTATTCACAATGTTT